CCCACTCTCCCCTTTCGTTCCTCATTAGCTCCCCCTCGTTCCACTCTTTCCTCTGGCTGCTCCTCCCTGCCCTGCTGAGCTATCTGTAGCCATCCTGGATCAAGGGCTGTCCTTGGCGATCCTTCCTCATTCCTCCTCCTCCTTCCTCCCTCCTCCTCCTTCCTCCGTCTCCTCCCTCCGTCCTCCTCGTCGTCCTTCCTCCTCCTCCTCCTTCCTCCTTCCTCCTCCTCCTTCCTCCGTCTCCTCCCTCCGTCCTCCTCGTCGTCCTTCCTCCTCCTCCTCCTCCTCCTCCTCCTCCTCCTCCTCCTCCTCCTCCCCATAGGTGATATGCAGTTTTTTTTGTGTTGCAGCGAGAGCTGGTTGGTTGGTTGGTTGGTGTGTGTGGGGGGGGGGGTGGTCCGCACGGGGCGGCAGGTCCGGGTTGCGCCAGGGGGGGGAGCCCGGGAGAGGAACCCGGGGTGACGGGGTCGCAGTCCCGGGGTGTACCTTGTTGTTGCTGCTGGCTTTGTTCTTGTTGGTGTTGTTTTTGTTGTTGTTGTTGCTGTTGTTGTTTCTGGTGCTGTTATGTTTGTTGTTGCTGTTGCTGCTGTTGTTGCTGTAAACGGTGATGATGGTGGTGCTGCTGCTGATGATGATTATAGTGCCGATGCTGATGATGCTGAGGATGCTGATGCTGATGCTGATTATCAAGCTGATGCTGATGCTGATGCTGACGATGATGCTGATGCTGTTGATAATGATGACGATGTTGAAGATGCTGATGATGATGCTGATGCTGAGTCTTATGATGCTGCGGAGGGGGAGGAGGAGGCGGAGGAGGAGGAGGAGGAGGCGGAGGAGCATGAGGATGATACTGAGGCGGATGATGAGGAGGCGGATGAGGAGGAGGATGATGAGAAGGCGTCTGAGGAGGAGGGGGATGAGGATGATGCGTAGGAGGAGGACGAGGAGGCGGCGACGGAGGCAAATGCGGAGGCGACAGGCGGAGGCGGAGGCTGATGAGGATACTGATGATGATGATGATGATGATGATGATGATGATGATGATGATGATGCTGCTGGTAATGATGATGCTGCGGATGAGGATGATACTGCTGATGTGGATGCTGATGCAGCTGATGATGCTGATGATGCTGATGATGACGACGATGATGCTGATGCTGATGATGCTACGGTTGCTGAGTATTATTCTTATCATGATGATGCTGATGATGATGCTGCTGCTGAGTATGATGATGGTGCTGATGCTGATGCTGCTGATGATGGTGCTGACGGTGATGATGATGATGTCGATGATGCCGACGATGCTGATGATGATGCTGCTGACGATGATGATGATGCAACTGATGATGATGCTGATGATGATGATGCTGGTGATGCTGATGATGATGATGTTGATGATGATGGTGATGATGATGAGGCTGATGCTGATGCTGACCATGATGGTGATGATGATGATGATGCTGATGATGATGATGATGCTGACGATGATGATGATGATGATGATGATGATGATGATGATGATGATGATGATGATGATGATGATGATGATGATGATGATGATGATGATGATGATGATGTTGATGCTGATGATGAGGATGATGCTGATGCTGATGATGATGCTGCGGTTGTTGATGATGCTGATGGTGATGATAACGATGATGCTGATGATGATAATGCTGATGATGCTCATGATGCTGATGCTGATGCTGCTGGTGAGGATGATGCGGAGGATGAGGAGGCGGTGGCGGCGAAGTTTGATCAGGATCAGGGGGAGGAGAAGGAGGAGGAGGAGGAGGAGAAGGAGGAGAAGGATGGT